TTATAGTTACGATCCCAAAACAAAGCAGCAATCGAGCGTATGGGTCTTTCAAGATGAGCCGAAACCAACCAAAAGTGGCGCGCATGCAAAGTGCCTCTAAGCGGATGATTGCTTCTTTTTTAAATAAAACTGGACACGTGGCTACTGTTGCTTTGGAGAATCGTTGTACCGTGAATAGTGATTGGTACACGACTATTTGTTTGGCGGAAGTTATTGACAAACTCCGTAAAAATAACCGTAAATGCCGATATCATCTTGCACCACGATAATGCCAGTTCTCACACGGCTAGAAAGACAAATGAATTTTTGAAGGTGAACAACGTTGACCTTATGAGCCCTAGTACAGTCCCGACCTGGCACCTTGTGACTTCTATTTATTTCCAAAAATTAAGAACCAGTTACGCGGTCAACAATTTTCATCACCTGAAGAGGCTGTCGAAGAGTATGAAAAAAACGTTTCAGAGATTGTCACGGAGGAGTGGCATAAATGTTTTCAAAATTGGTTTATTCGTATGAAAACGTGCATTGACGCTAACTAAAAAATATTCTCCATTTTGAGAAACAATAAATTCATTTCTGAGCATTTATAGTATTTTTTTCGTATTCATTACGGACACTTATGGTGCGCCTCACGTATACAAATCAAAACATAGTTTATGTTCCCAATGTAAAGAATATTCTAAGAGGTTTATTTTGCGTAATTTTCTATGGGTCGTGACCCTTATCATTTCCTACTTATTTTTGAATTGAAAATATTTTATGACAAAAAATTATTCTAAACAGCTTTGTAAATTGTTCAACTCGAAAGGGTATTTTTCAATAATTTATTAGTCAGAATACAGTGGAACCTGGTACTAAACGAACGTGGAAAAAAAGGTTTATGATCTATGAGATGTCACTCCGACAGTAACAGTTGTTTGTTTACATTTTTAGATTTCGACTACATCTCAGAGTTTAAATACATAAGACATATTTTAATTATTACAAACGTAGATAATATAATATATTTTATTATACTTTCATTGTACTTTAATTAGTCATTACAAAATAAGCTTAATATTCTGTTTTAACTTCATTACTTGCGTTCAGAGTTCCGATTTTCCGCTATCAGCGCAAAAGCGATGTAACTCACATTTCATTATTTTTCTACAATGTTACTTTAAATCATAGGTTCCTAAACTTTTTGGCTTACGGCCCACTAAGGCAAGATAAAAAATTTCAACGCCCACCACCATAAAAAAATAATTGAAAACACGTATTTTTTATATTAATTTAACACAAAAAAAGTCTCAAGGAAAAAATATATATTTGTAGTGTAGTTTATATAGATAATTCAGGTGTTATTTTTTTCAAATGCGGTAGCACCCCCTGGACAGCATCAACGACACCCAATTGCTTCCGAGGAGCCTACCGCCCCACGTGGACTCTTCAGCGTCCACTAGGACCACTTTGGGAGAAACTATGCTTAAATGATACGAAAGTACATAATTAATATTATGTTGCTATTTTCATGTAGAATATATATATTCATTCATCCATTCATTCATGAATTTGACTAATCTTCTATGGATATAATCCTCTATGGAGTTACACCACTTTTGTTTGACAACCTCAATAATAATCAGTTGTGCCTTTTTTGTGCTATTTATGGAATAATGAAAAGAGATCAAATGAAGAAGTTTTGAAAAGGGTTGGGGAGGAGAGATGTCTTTTGAATGCAAAGGAGAAGAGAAGGGGGAAAATGTAAAAAACAAAAAAACATTTGTTGGGTAATGACGAATTTGTGAGAGTGACAATTGAGGGGAGGACAGAAGGGAAAAGAAAGAGAGGAAGACCATGAATGGCGTATAGTGAATAAATAAAAAAGAAAATCAAAGTGAACAGCTATAGAGAGGTCAAAGAACTGGCTATGAACAGTGAGGAGTGGAGTAGGCTACACCGAGAAGATGATGATGAAGTAATTTATTATTGTAATTGAACTAGGTACTTATGTCTTTCATAAGGGTATTTTGATATTACAATTTCATATTAGTGTTTTTATCACAAAATCTGATTATAGATGTCAGTTCTGAAGCTCAAAAGAGCTTATTATATAAGCAACAATTGTTAACATAGATTTAAAAAAAAATTGTTTCTGATACAATTTTGACAAAAATGTTAGGTCTTTTTTCGTTTCGAGTGTGAAATACCATAAATTTAGTTATGGTTCAAGGACTGGCTCAGTTCAAAGAAACACAAAACTGAAAAATTTTATTAGAATAAATGGATATACTCTGAAGTTCAGGCTAAGATTCAAATTAAACAATTAGGAGCAATAAAGTAATTCAGAGGCCACTGTAAAACTGTTATCGTATACGAGCAATTAAGGCCGTAGATACTACTTTTTGTATTCTATTGTATAACGGCCTTGTGGATGTTTTTTATAATTATTTAGTTCAGCCATTGATGATTTGCAATATGATTTCTAATTTCATGGTAAGCCTTAATGGTCACATGCTTGTCGCAAATCCTATGATAAGAGAATAGTTCCACGCAAAATAGGCGCTACAACGTTGTTGCGGAAATCGACTCGTTAGACAATACCAAGACATTAAAAACCACGACTACGTTACACGTCACTACTCTGGTAGAGAGACGCTTTCAAAAAATAGGTTTTCATTCTTATAGGCTAGGAATTTAACACTGTCAGCGCCATGTGGGCCACCGGCCACCCATAAAAACCCAAGTGCAGCAGGCCGCCACGTGTTTTCGAATTTTATCTAACAGGCTATGTGGACCGCGCCGGCCGCCGATATAAACCCAAGTGCAGCAGACCACCATGTATATCCTAATTTTACCTAGCAGGCCATGTGGACCGCCGGCGTACCACCACAATTAGGAATTAAAATTTATTTTCGACTTTTGTGGTCCTGACCAGTCACAGCTTGCATCAGCAGGCCGACAATATAAGTTGTGCGTTCGGTGAACAAAGCCAATTGTTTGGCTCTTCTGCTAACAATTGATCCAGATCATAATCATGTATCGATCTCGACCCCAGTAGTGACATCCATCTGTTTTTGGTGGAATCACAAGATACATACATAGATAAATACAGATAGATAAATACAGTTTCAGGCCATCAATTCCTCTCTGGATTTGGTTTTATTACTACCATTCTTTAATCTGCTGATTACACTAAACTCTATTCTATAATGTGGTGCTGTCCATTTAACCAGCATAATACATAACTGTTGGTTCAGCAAATTTTTAATACTTTTATCTCTTAAAATTTCCCAAGACTGAAAACATCTCACTTGGAACTCGATAATGTCAAAAAATTTTTCGTGACCAAGATTTCCAAGATGAAAGCTCTATTCCTGACAACCAGTGTAATCTATTAGACATACAAAATTTTATTCCCAAAAAAAACTGAACTTTAAAGTATCCTAGCAAACACTTACTGCTCATAACTTCAGCAACAGAGTGGTCTACAAGTGGAACATGCTACCAGAACATATTGTTTCTGTTAATATCTTAAAAAATAAGCTGGACAACAGGCATCAGCGCTGAAAGTGAACTAAACTTAAAAAACAAAGAATAAAAATTTTTAACACTGTCTGAAGTTGACATCATAGATAAATAATATGTATTTATGTAATAATGATATTATCACCTTTATTAGACTTTAATACTCATAAAAACACAAACAACTAGATAAAATAGTTGTTATTAACCTGAACCAATTAAAACAAATAACTATTGATCTATAACATGTGGAGAGCACACAGTTTTGACCTATCATTGAAATGATATTTATGCAGGTTTGAATAGTTGAATAAAAATGTATTTTTTTAAAGATAATATCATGTGTCAGGACGAATAAACTGTGTGTGTGGTAAATCGGCTTACACATAGCAGGTGCAATGTCACTCAGGACCTTAAATGCAAAGATCTAAAGGTACACTGCCACTGCACCCACCACCCTGAGGACAGTAATTTCCCAACAAGCTCAAATAAGAATAGAGACTTTGAGCAAAGTTTATACAAAATTACTGTAAAATTAGTTTGACGACTGCAGTGGCTCAACTTTAAATTATGGGATATACAGATTTTTTTTATATAATACTAAGTGACAGGATAAACAAGTTGTGCACCTGGTGGTACGCCACATGTCTATATCCATAACACTTGCAGTGCCACTCAACTGCTTTAAATCGCAAAGATGTTAGGGGCAATGCCACTGCGCCCGTCACCGTGAGACATAACTTGACAAGTCATATTTGCCTGTAATTTCTCCAGCACCATTACCCTTCAAAACTGAAACACAGTAATGCTCGCATTACTGCTTGGCGGCATTAATAGGTAAGATGACAGTACTTCTCTGGACGAAATCTTTCACAGGGAGCTCTACTGCTACTGAAAAGATGACTCTACTGCTATTGAGACCTGGCTACAATTCCCAGTAGGATCGCATTAGTAAATGAGCTTTTCTAAATTGGTGCTAGTTTGGGTGTTCAGGGAATTACCCCAAGTGAATTCCGTTGCCTTGGTAATCATGGTGCAAGGAATTCCCTAGTTTGAGATCAGGCAACTAGTATGGTTGTCTGGCACTATAATTAGCATGTTTATTTAAGAACATTATTCAACTTTAACAAGGTGGTATTAATGTTTACTTACATGTTACATGCAAGTTTGTTTACAATGCATTGTTAGAAACCACTTTATGACAATAAATTGTAATTTAAAATAGTGAAAAATTTCTAGCACACTTTTTTACACCCATATTTATAAATGATGGACTCTAACACGGGGGTGTAATGTTAATTACTATGTAAGTAACTTCTGAGGAAGCTAATGCCTCATTTGTACCTAGCAAGGTCATCAAATTCTGGTATGAGTGCATTGAATAGCGATATTTTTTTAATTAAAATATTTAATTGATATGACAATTGCTGACAAGCAATGCTCAGGAATTTCTACAGGATACATAATTCTAAGAAGGTTATATCTATACGACTTACCTTAGTTTTGTTAGTCTGGTCATTTCTTCCGGTATAGTCTGAAGTTCGTTGCCTCTGGCGCCAAAAGTGTCAAGTTTGGACAACTTCCCGATTTCCGGAGGGATCTCCTTTAACCCTATCCTGTTGCACCAGAAAGCCTCCAAGTTCTCCAACTCACCAATTTCAGGTATTAACACTTTTAAGGGATTATAACTTATATTTAAATTCACTAAGTTTTTCAAGTTCCCAATTTCAGGCGGCAGCGAACTTATGTTATTGTAATCCAGAGTTAATGTAGTAAGATTTAACAACTCCGTTATTTGCACTGGGGCTACCGATATTTTATTTCTATGTAAATAAAGATGTTCGACTTCCATACAGTTGTAAAGTAAGTTCGGTATTTCAGTGATTTCGAAAGCGTTCAGACTCAACCGCGATTTCTTTTTGACAATGGCTTGTTCTATAAGGGCTAATATGTGATTTTCACGAATAAATTTTAAAATTGCACTCATTTTTGTTACTATTTTTGGTCACATTGCACGAACATCTATTGCGTTTTGAATTTGTAGAGGAAAGAAATGACAAATGGGTGACAATTGAATTTGACAGACGAAATCGGGGTTGCTTACTAAATAATTTGATTTCTACATTCCACTCAACATTTATTTGTATTTAATTCGTGCAGAATTTGGAAATTTCATTTGAATTGTTTATTGAGCATTTTCTGTAAAGCTATCAGCTTAAAAAGATAACAAATAATGAAGAAACTCAAAACGCACATGATGTACTCAAAATAAACAATAAATTAAATCGTGTTAAAACTGTAACTACAAAAAAAAACATACAGTCGAATTGAGAACCCCCTCCTTTTTTGAAGTCGGTTAAAAACCCGGAATTTTTTTTTCTGGAAATTTAAATGTTTGTTACATTTTTTCGGATCTTATCGCGTCTTATTATTTGTTTTTCAATCAGTCGTGAGGTGGTCGTGATTATGGAACTTGCGAAGAGCCCCGATTTCGTTTGTTTAAAAAACAAATACATGTGATTTGTATTCGAAAAAACAGTTTCATTTCCAAAGTGTAGCAATCACGAATACGTATGTACATATTTTGTCAGTTTTCATTTGTACACGTAAAAACATCACCGACATGACTATAGGGCACGAATTCCTCTATAGAGAAGGTTTTAGGTCATCGTTGTCCACTCAAGTCTGTGCGGCTTGTGGATTTCTTCGTCTGCAAATTATGTTGTGAATCTTTATTATGGGTTAATAAGAAAAACGAATCATAATTATTACTAACAATGAATTCTCGATATCGATTCAAATGAATCCAAGTAACGTGTAAAGGAACGTAACAAAACTTATCGATTTTCCTATTTTCCGCGGAAAATGTACATTTCCCAATCAATGTTATGAAAAATAAACAAGAGAAAAGTGCGTAGTTCTCTTGTTAAGAAAATGTGTCAGATTTTAGTGAAAAATCTTTAATAATCAATGTTATTCAGTGATGCATGAGAGTTTAATAGTTTTAAAGATGTTTATTTTCAAATTAATATTCTTCGTAGCTCTTATAGAGCATTGTATTCTCGGCGCTAATGGTAAGTACCTAAAACCTATAGTTTCTTCCTTCAAAATATACTGTAAACCATGGATATAACGCCTTGAAATGCATATAAATATTTGTATGATTAATAAATTAATGGTGGGCTCCCTGTTGAATTATAAACTATAAATTTCTAGCGTTCCAACAAAACAAAAGTGTACATCATACACGACGGTCAAGCGTGGACGATAGTTTCTTCAAAAATCAAAGAGCACCATCCTATCGCTCTTTTCAACCGGTTTCCATCAAGTACCACAAAACAATATATCCTAGAGCCGATGATAGAGCTGACTATGATATAACTTCGTATGATACGGAATATGGGGGAGTGGTTTCCAACTTTACATCTTCTATTTATGATGACAATCCACCGCTTTACCCAAATCCGGAATTCTTATCAAGGAACCAAAGTAAGTAAATTATAAGTAGTTAAGTAATTGTACCTATTTCACTTTCATAATAATCTTATAGGTACCTATAAATTAAAAAAAAAATTGAAAATTCAGTCACATAGTTATTTTGAATTTTTCCTCGAATTTGATGATGATATTAATACAAACAAACTGTTTCTACAGTTAAAAACATTGTTGTAACTTGAAAAGTTCATAAAAAAGTTTACTTGACCACAAACAAAAATTGGCACCCAACATGGGACTTGATAAAAATTATTTTGATCTTTTGTGACGTTGTTGCAATAAATATTTGTGTTTTTTTTTTAATTAACCCATTGTGGCTCACTGCTGGGCAAAGACCTCTCCGTTTTTTGTACCTACATAAGATCATGTCTATATGTAAAAGAATTATATAAATAGTCTAAAATTAATTTATGGTAATTAGTGAACAAAGCATCCGACAGCAAGATAATGGATGCAGACATCGATCTCCCGGACGATTCTTTGGCCGATGCTGATCTCAAGGAGCATAACATCATCGATAGCGTCACATACTTGTACGGCTTTAACAATTGCCACGCCAGGAACGAGTGGACAATACTGGTTTGTTATATTTTTATTATTTTTAATTATTAAACAAGTACAAATTAAACTTATGTCTTATCACTTGGTTAATTCACTGCCTCCGTGGCTTCCATTACGTTCCACCGCAATGTAAATTGAGCCTAAGGGTGCTAATGAAATCACAGACACATGGGTCTTGTCAACTTTATCTCAGGGTGACGGGCGCAGCGGCAGTGTCAGCGGCAGTGATTTTTGTGATTTAAAGCTCTGAGTGTCATTGCAACTGTTATGGATAGACGTGTCGTACGACTTATTGTCTTAAAAAATATATAAAAACAGACTGTAGTTGGTACAATGTGAACTAGCGTCTTTCCACAGAAACGTAAACAATAGGGGTAATATCCTAGACTCTCAAAAAACTATTCGTCGAGTTTATGACATTGACTTACAAATAAATGGACGACGGGTCTAATACAAAAACCACGAAAAAAATGTCTCAAGTCAACCTATTTAAACGTAGTGACATGTAAAGGAATATGAAAAAGCTAAAACGTTACATTTAAATTGTAATGTCATCGCAGTACTGTCCAATTTTGCTTGCTTCGCGGTCAGTCGAACAAACGAAGACTAAAGCGTGAATGACGCTCTGTATACGATTTTAACGCCCTATAAGTTCGGACACTTTTTAGCGCGGACCCGACGTCTATATAATTGTAAGTCAATGCGTTATGAAGTTGACATTTCGGTAAGTTAGTGGTCAAACCAATTCCGCGTAATAGTCGTGACAACCTAATTAGACTAATTTATTGGAGTCTATTGTTATCACTCCGTAAATAACTTAAATTACTGCTTACTGTGCAAGAATGAAAGTCGTAAGCGTTGAAATAACAAAGTAACAAAGTAATAATGTTTAAACCCACTCCTGTAAAATTTTATCACAAGAAGATACACGCTTTTTACCAATCAGTGCTACATTCGCACCTTTGCACTCTCACCGAACGTATTGTATTTTTAAAGGAGGCTTTTCGAAGTTACCATGGTGGTCTGCCACGCAGAGGTCCCTGGTTCGATTCCCGGGCTGGGAGAAATATTTATATGGCCTACATTCATTGTTTCTCATGAGTTTGGGTGTAATTTGTGGTTGTCCATGTGTGTGTCCATGGCACACGCGATACAGGGTTTCCCTAGTGCGGGGCTATGAGCGTGTGCGTTATTGTAATATTATTATTATTTGACGACCTCTGTGGTAGAGTGGCTTGCACATCGGTTTTCATGATATCGCCATCTCTGAGGTCCCGGCCGGGTCAATGTAGAAAAGCTTTTCTATATTCTCTCGAGTCTGGACGTTTTGGTACCGTCGTTGTTTCCGATTTCCTTGTACTTAGGTACATTGGGATCGGAGCAACATATGTATGTGATATTGTATAATATGTTTATTTATTTAATATTTATTTATTATTATTCATAATGTAGACTAGTTTTAAGGGAAACCTGAATGTCTGATTTACCTACAACTCTACAATCGTTTAAACAGATTTTTATAACGTGCGGCATAGCAATGTTGCTGGTAACAGCAGCAGTGATGTGGCTAATGTGGAGCGAGTTTGCAGCGGAGTTTCGGCGCGGCAGTAAGCTGTACCCGATCAACATAAATCTGTGCTGCTGTCTCGCTGCGTGTACGCTTATTTATGTACAAGCTGTAATGGTAAGCACTTAAACCTAGTAAAAAATCTCATATTTCGATTTATTTTAGTCATTCATAGTTCACGCTTTAATGTCAAATAAATAAATTCTCTCTATCATTTCAGGGAGTATCATCGCCATCTCAATGTGAACGTATAGCTTTGCTACTACACTACACTTATTTGTGTTGTGCGATGTGGATTGTAGCCCTCGGAGCGGCCGTGGCCGAATATTGTGTCTGTGACACGCTACTACCTTTGAAGTACAATTATTTACTCGCTTATGGAGTGCCAGCTGTTGTGGTCATGGTAAGTAATTATACTTGTTTACCTTATAAAATATTATTTTTAAACAAAAACCTCGTTATGAAGTCCCACTGATTAAGGTCTTTGTTTATAACTAGTCAACAAAATTAAATGTTGCTTCTATCATCTGTTATGCCTCTCAAGTAATGAGGGCCTACTTTGTTTATCTGCTGAGTCACCGAGGTCTTTAAAAATCTTTGCACAACTAGGTTCCCGATACATGACACTAGAACATTTAGATGCAGTTTGTCTATTACTTAACGACGTTTTATTTTTATTCTTAGTTTAATTACGCTCTCTCTATGGAACACTATGAGATAAAACACTACTGCTGGATGTCGATTGAAAAAGGCATGGTAATGGGTTTCATGGTACCAGCAATGATACTGATTTTAATTAATACTGCCATCATTATACTCGGATTGCAATCAGTTAATAAGAAACAAGCTGAAATGTTAACTGCCAAAATACAAGAGCTGGTTGATCATCATATAGCTAATTGGCCAAAAAATGAACCCATAGGGGAGAATAAAAATGAAAGTATAGAAACTTTGAACATTTACACTCCGGGGAGTAGCAGGAAAAATACTGACAGTACTGACACTTTGGATAAGGAGTATAATTTGAGCGAAGATGAATGTGGCTACGTGAATTTAAAACTACCTGGTAACGAGGCGAATGACGATGGTAATGAGGTCAGTGAGAAAACTTATTGTTTTTCTTTATTATTACCTATGTATCTATACGACGTGGTTTTCGTTGTTTAAATTTAACCATTAGCTGCAAGAGCAAGTTTTCAGTTCAACTGTATGAAAATTTCTTTTTTCTAAATTAAAGTAAAATACAGTCGTGGCGGTAACCTAACCTACTAGATCTACCGCCTACGCCTTTTAACTACGGTCATAGGTTCGAAGCCAAGCTTGTACCTCGAGAGTTTTTTATAATATATGTCAAGCCCTCTCTTCGTGAGAGGAGGCCCGTACATAGCAGTGAGACTATATTATAGGCTAACTATCATATTATTACAATAAATTGAAGTAAATAGTTACTCGGATAAAACCAAACGGACTCTATAGAGGTACCTATTATAAATATTTTTATATTTTGTTATATAACATTTTTAATTTTTTTTTCCATTCTGTAGCAAACTAACGTATCAGCTAAAACAATTCAAGATAAACGCCTTTTGAACATGCTTTACAATGATAACTTGTCTTGGAAGTGGAGTTGGAATACGGAGGGTAATGAGTTGAAGAGTTACTTACATCTGTGCCTCGTACTGGAGCCATTCTTTGCGATAAATTGGGTTATGGGTGTCGTTGCTATTGAAAATGCCGCACACTGGTCTACGCCGACGATTTATTTGATACTTGTTGTTGCTATGGTAAGTCTAAATTTCAAAATCCCTTGAAATAGTCCGGTTGACCATATGCAATAATATAGAATAATTATATACCACAGGTCTTTACGAACACTATAGAAAGATATGGTCATATTCGTCATCATATTCCTTTTTAGAGTTTGTTGTGCTATTTCTGTGTATATTTTGACAATTAAAAAAAAAAATCTTAAAATGTGGATTCACAAGAAACGATTCTGGCAATATTTTGCCGTAATTTATCGCGTTCCACGTTATGACCTTGAGTTAACCAATTAGGAACTAACGTCGCAGCACCTGATTGGTCAACTCAAGGTCATGTCGCGCAACGCGATAAATTGCGGCAATATATTGTCAGAATTTGTGCAATGTGAATCCACCTTTAAAATTGCATTTACTCAGTGTTGCCATTTAATAGTAGGTTCGGTGGTAAACCTAAATTTAAACAAATATTTATTTATTTTTGGAAAGTCTTGCATTTGAATAATTTTTATGCACTGGTTTGTACTTACTTAAATTGAATCGCATTGAATTGCAGTACATGTACCTTGCCACGACTATCTGCACGACGTTGCCTATCGTCCGCAAAAAGTGCGCCAGTCAGCCTTGCTGCGAGGACGTCGTTGTGGAACCTACCGTCACTAGAACGAGGTAATTTTAACACAATATTAAAATGATGCATAATCTGTAAAACTATTGACGGTATAATTTACACGTGCTGCTCAACCTTGATGGTGTATTTAATTCGTACGTATTTCGAACACATCAAGTGTCGGACGATGACACAAAAAAGTTGGCTGAATATTTCCAGTAGGAGGGGTTTTGTTCTAAATATTCAAATTTCGTAGTTAAAATTTACTTTTGTAGTTACAGTTTTTACACAAAATAAATCTTAGTTTAAATATTACGAGTATTATACGTTTTGAGTTTCTTAATTATTTGTTACTCTTTTATGCTGATTGTTCTATAGCCGAAGTTTAATAAAGAAATAATATTAATAACCATCTTCGTACTAATAAAGTGAATAAAACACTGCCTGTAATTAGACGTCTTACTTTTTTCGATACACTAAAGAAAGTGCATGTAGGGTGATCTGCTGTAAACCAAATAAAACTCTAAATTGTTTACTGTAGAACGCTCTGATAGAACAATTATATTGCATTTCGTATTTTTAATAGTTTTTTTAATTTTACACAAATATTTTTTTCCAGAACCACCGACAGCATTCCCCTTTTAGACCCGGCAATACAACAACCAATTATAACGCCAGCACCCGCTGATACAATAAGCACCATCAGTATCTGAGAGTACAAAGTAAAATCGAGGAATTGTCTACAAAGTCAACAATTAACGGGGCTCTACTTAATATGGTCTTGTGCCAGACATGTTATTTGGCGTATGCCAAGAAACCAGAAATATAGAGTTCTCTACATCTATTGACCACTTTTTGTGGTCGTTTTGGAAAGCGACGGAAGAAAAAGAAATAATTTTCATATTATCGTTACCGAACATTTTGAATGAAGGAGCAAAGTTTGCTACTAGTGAGCATGCGTCATTGCTAATTCTTTTTAAAAGGCGTTTATGCCCTTTTTTAATCTAAATCAAGTTTATTTATAACTTAGCCTTCAATGGCCCGTTAATGTGGAAAAATTTGGAAAGTTTGAGTGTTTAGTCACACTGACTCTTAGTAAAAAGTCAGCGATAGCACATCACGTATGGAATTTGTAAATTATGTCTCACATTTTTACTTGCATGACCAATTAAAGGTCTTTAAAATTAATAAGCTACGGGTGTTTGCCTATAAGAAATGCATTTTAAATGGGACTATATTGCAAAGAGCCCTTACAAAAATAATTTTATAAGTATTAAAGAACAGGATTTAAAGTGAACAATAATGTTTTCATTAACTTGGCATGTTTGTCTGGTTAAATAGATGTCTATGTTAAGCTCAAAGAAGGAAAACGATCATTGAACGAAAGAAGTCCACAACGCGTTGTGGTCTCCTTAAAATATCCATATCACGTTAATTGCTCGGAAATGTTATATAAGAATGAACACAAACTTAATAACAACACAACGCGTAGTGGTTAAATATTAATAACAACACAACGCGTAGTGGTTAAATAGTTTCATTTCCTATGTTGAAGATACTTAAGATAAAAAAAAAACGTCATTGCAAAATATAGAAAAATAGGTACAGAGATGTACCTAGCTCCCAAACTAGGATACCCTGTACTATGGGTAGGTTTCTATTCTATTCTACTCTACTCAAAGTACAGGAGCTGAACTCTATTATTATGAGAATTTGTGAAAATGAGCCAGACAGGGTTTAGAAAATTACATTTAGCAATGTTTATAAAATTTTATTTTATAATTCATGCTAAATATAATATTAAGAGATATATCTGAAAGTGGAACATAATATGAGTGTTCTAATTATTATTTTCCCAATTTTTCAAAAATGTATCTTAAAAAATTTACACTACCTATTTAAATTTTTTTGGAAAATAACCCAACTCTAGTCGTAAGTCACACGTGTACGTGTTATGGATTTAAAGAGACCACAACGCGTTGTAAGCGTTTTACTTCTTTGAGCCTTACATATACATGTTATGTTTGCCGAAACTGGGAACAGTACTCGCAAGTAACAATACCACACATGAGCAGTCGAAAGCTATCAAATTGAAAATGCGTTCTCTTAGATGCTTAAATGTTGGTTGACTTTTATTGAAAATGTTTGAAAAAAAAACTATTTATATGTATAAGCAATATTTTAAAAACATATCTCATGCTTCATAAACCTGCCTATTGTTATAAGAAATTTTAAATTTTATAACCGATATATTAATTAATAGTAGTGTGTAGGAGAAATTTTATGAGAGTGTATAAAATACTATGTATTCTATTACAAAAATTATATAAAATTTATTTCAAATGTAGTTACCTGCTTTGGAAACTTTCTATTATCGAATGCAAAAAAGAAAAGCAGTATTAAATATTGTTTAGAATAATAAGTACTTACTATATATATCGCACAAAATTATACACATTATATAGGCTTTGAATTTTTCGTAATTCACTTAGGAATTACATACAAGGAGATTATAATAGTAAAAACAACGTTTTTATAAACCAAAAATTTTAAAACTGTACTGTATTTTAACTTTTTTATTGAATTATAATCTGCTGTATAGATTTCTCAAACTCTTATTGTAGTCCATATTAAAAGCTATGTAGTCTACTACGGTATTCTTACCCAATAACAGTGAAAGAAAAAAAAGGAAGTAAAATACATTTGAAAAGATTAAGTAATTGCGTATTGGGAAGTTATCACTATCGTTAACACAGAAGCCGCTTGAGTCGGTCCAAAAAGCTCTTATCCATGCAATAAGAGCGACAAAATTTTTTGCACTTATTGCTTCCGTTCAGATTGTTAACGCGATGACAGAAACCAGGGTTGTTCCTGATGCAGGTTGTTTACACGTTAGCGGATGTGGATTTTTTTAACCTTAAGAGCACCAGCATATGCATATGTAAATGCTGAGACTGTCCTACAGAGTAATAATTTGTTTTGTATATACTTCTAAATAGTCTTTTATACTTTAATAAATGTATGTATAATTAATATGTATGGAAATAAATGGTTTAAATTATGGATGCTGATATTCGCAATAGCTCTGACATAGACGGCTAGTGCAGTGAAGATTCCATCGCTGCACTAGGTTCCTTCGCGTTTGGATACCACTTTCCACTTAACATCAGGTGGAGTGGAGTCATTTGCCTGTCAGGTATAAAAAAAAAAAAAAAAAAAAAAAAAAAAAAAAAGACATAAAACTTTTTCTGACCAGCTTAATGTGAACTAGTGGTGTGACTTTCTTAGGTAGTGGAGGCAATAAGATTTAGTGCCTATTGTTCGACACTTATATTGTTTGTTACATAAGCACCGTGACCAAAAAATATACAAAGATATTAGATGCATAGTTTGAGTTTGGTGGAACACAAGAATGTGATTTTGGTGTAGCCACAGAAAAACAAGTGTGGACGGTTCCCGATTTGTATGCGAAGAACGCAACGCCGCACAATAGCCATCAACTGATAATTTTTGGATATAGGAATTTTTAACACGAAGTTGTTTTTTTTTAAACTTATGTTATTTATTGAAAAGTTTATTGTTGCTTGGGTGGTTACTTACAGTATAAGTAACCACCCATTCTCTGATTACACAAGAGCAAATGTTGTCAGGAATGTCATTATTTATCACATAAAATGTGTACTTCACATGGCTGTTTGTATTCGCTCTTGGGTTTTATGTTGTACATACTTGGAACAATATTTGAAGTATTTAGGTACCATGACAAATATGCAACATTGATAAATGTTATCGTCTACATACCGAGTTAAAAATAATTAATATGACCGTAGGACCTGGTAAGGGCCGCGGGTAATCGATGGATGCACGTCGCGTCCGATCGGCTGTTCTGGAAATCTTTGGGGGAGGCCTATGTTCAGCAGTGGACGTCTTGCAGCTTATATAATGATGTGGATGGTTTACTTACGATTTGCCTTTGAAATAGAAACTGACCGCGAGTTTTGCGTTTGCTGTATTTGTCGAATAGGCAAATACTTTATCACGCATACTATTAACACAACGGTGATTGTTTGCCAAATATTTTTATAAAATAATTATAACAAACTAGTAGAGTTATTTCACAAAATAGAAAACAAATCAATCAAATATGTTAAATACAAATAGCCATGTGAAGTGCCACAATGAAAAAAACAGCTAAATTCACAAATTGTTCCTATGATTATGAATTATCAGTTTGGGTCTGCTACGCACTGTCTACATTTGTCTGACGTGTCGTGTCGTGACGCGTCAGAACGGTGTCGTGGTTTCATACACACAACACAATCCGTCAACTCAAATTGCGACACAATAATATAAATCTTACCATATTAAATATATGAAACCGATACCCTTCGGACGCGTCTGGACACAACACGTCAGACAAATGTAAATCCGGTATAACTCATAATAATTTGTTGTACGGCCAAACTGTCAAAGAGTATGTTGATATTAAATCTATGTAGTGACTTCTAACGTTGACTAGAGATTGTCTAAAAGTTGAGAGTTTAAAAAAAAAATATGTCGTAATAAGTCTTCTAAACTATTGAGGTACATCTAAACTAAGATTCTCTTGTGATAGTTCTATAGTGATAGATTGTTACCTGTAATTGTTTTAAATAAATGTTTTCAATATTTCAATGTTTCTTTTTATTTGGCTCTCTTGGGGTTGGATCCCTATTAGTCGGCACGCATCACGAACGCGCCCATACTAACGTGTTACGTAAACACATTTCTTATTTTTATTGTAAGAAAGGCATGTGTTGTGGTTCTCGTTGAGGAATGGTAGGGTTTTTAATCGGCCATTTAATCGGTTTTAGTCGTAAAAAAGTAGATTTAGTCGGTTCGCCGTTAAATAGCTTCTTCCAGCATGGTCAGTAAAACACCCCTATAGAGTAATTTTCAGGCTAGTTTTCTCTACCTAATTTCTGTGACAATTTTTATTATTTAAATATTCGAGTACATTATCGTGAATATTAAGTAAAATTTGAGGTACTGCACTTGAATATTAAATAATGCTTAATGATAATATTGTAGAATATTTAAATAATAAAAATTGCCACCGGAAATAGGCGGTGAAAACTAGCCTGAAAATTACCCATAAGGGTGTCTTACTGACCATGCTGGAATAAGCTATTGCCGACCAACTAATCTAGTTTCTACTAGAAGTGACTAAATGGCCGCTTTTGAAGTGACTCGTAACAATAAATAACACTCATAGCCCCGCACTAGGGAAACCCTGTATAGCGGGTGCCATGGACACCAACAAACAACTACACTATAAACTCACTAACGAGAGAAATAAATATAGGTCATACAAATGTTTCTCCCGGCCCTATATATGGTACACGTTCGGCCACGGAGGCAGTTTTCAAAAACCACTAGTCAAATTTCAAAAAGTCGTGCATGGTCACGCTGGAATAAGATTCTCACAGGACATTGGCGAAATCGCCATTTTTTTGTATAACTTTTATAATAATATTAAACTACCGTACATAGTTATTTTTACTTGACATTGGCAAAATCATTGATTATTTCGATGGAGCCATAACATTTAAAAGAAGAAGAAGGTATCTACGCTGATAACATCAATTTCTAGCCATTGAACACAAATATGAATTTTGTTGACTTCATTACATTGCGCCCTGGCCCATTTCGGCTTGCACTGAGCGGCTTTTATTTATCTATTGCATCATGCAATGTATCAGTGCAGAAAATAGCATCCCATACGAAAATGTATTCTGATAGCTCGTTAATGTGCGTTGTCGTAATAATGTTTACGCAGCTCGTTAAAAGCGCATGTTGCAGTACCTACGCATATCTTAAATTCATTTATTCATACGTTATTATAATATAGATTATAATAATAATTTTATGGAATCTGCAATTAGCCAAAATGGCATAGGAAGTCAATGAAATAATAAAATGCAATGTCGAACAAAAATAAAAAAAAATAATAGCGCACCCCTCATGGAAGAATGGATTAAAGCATGTGTCAAAACAACTATTAATTGACAAGTGTTACTACAGCATATAAGAATATTTAAACGAATCTTTCAATATTATTTCTCTGTGTAAATTCATAACTTCCTGCTGACGCTGGCACAAGCCTAGTGGCCGCCATAAGGAAATAATATTTAAATGAGTTACTTAAAATAGGTAAATTTTCTAGACGTAATGTGTTGATAACAGTGAAAGAAAATCAGGAAATGGCATTGTAAGGGCCACTCTTTTATTTATTTCCATCCTCCTAAGGGGCTTAGACTATGGATTTTTTTCCATCCTTTAAGCTAAGGGGCAACTTCAATTTAATCATAGATAAAAAAAAATATATTAAGTGGCCAGTAACTTATTCAAAAAGGTATAAATACTAAGGAGATAAGTAAATTTCTGACCAATACGGAAAAAAGAAATGATCTTTAAATAAATAACGCACACACTCAACATAGCCCCGCACTAGGGAAACCCTGTGTCGCGGGTGCCATGGACACACACATAGACCACCACAAATTACATCCAAACTCACGAGAGAAATAAATGTAGGTCAGTTAAGATTTGACCTTAGAGGATGGAAAAAAAAAGATATGACGGATGTGTACTAAATCCATATGACAAAAGCGGAATTTGACGAAAGTGTCGTTATTGGTTGTCCACATTCGTTATTTATTGTGTATTTGAATATTTTAGGTGCCATATCGACAACGCTATTTTTGTATAAGGCCGCTTTAAAGGTTTGTAAATTAAACGACTAATAATTTTACTTATATCGAGTGTATTTCTGGATAAATTGGTTACAAAATGCTTATCCAACCGTTCGCCAGCGTTCGTTCTTTGACAAGCAACAGCGAGATGAGGCTACAGTATAAAATCGTACACCTTCACATTACCGTCTAGAGTATAAAAAGCCGACCCAACGGATCGCTAGGAGCGTTAATTCTGACAAAACTCGCAAGTATTCTGACACTACGCATTTTTGATAATGTTGTTCCCATGCAGTTTTGTCTCAATCCACGCTCGCTGTTTAACCTGTATATTCAAAAAGAAACCTACGCGTCACTGAATTTGAGCTTAACTTACTCTTTATAGGAAAAAATATATAATAATTAGTATAATTTAAATTACATACTCCCTTATTCGCTATTTAGTAGAGACGGTCATATACAGTTAGCTAACTCTGTACAGATAAGACAAATGGAAACCGCTCGTAAAACTGCATAAGAAAGCTTAAGGATTGAAATTAACATAAAAAGAACCCATGCGAATGTGGGCGAGCGCACCGCACTGCAATACTGACTCCTACGATTTGAAAACTCGCATCCATATACAAATTTTTATTTATTTTCCCCATTGTGTTAATGTTAAAATGTCGTTCATAAAGACATTGGTAAAGAAACTGACACTTGTGGTACCTGTACGTGACAGATGTGACAGCTGTAGTTCTGATACATAATGAAACTGGCAAAGTGCCAGTGCGTACCAAAACTGACAGGCGTCATTCCCGTACGTAACAGAACTGATAATCAAAGTATGTAATGGTTACTTTCTTGTAATTAATTTTCGGCGGCCGTGAGTATTGAGTATGAAAACTTGTAGGTGGAGGCTCGTTTATCGTTAAGACTAAGTGGGGGCGCCGCTCGATGGTGTAAATGCGTTACTGGCGGTCGGTGGCGCGCAGTTTCTCTTCAACGGCCTCCTGAGACGCCTCGGAGAGGTCGGTCGCTTGGATGTACTTCTGGACGCCGACCAACGACTTCTTCAGGGCATCAAAAGAGCTGTTGACAATAAGATGTGAATATTAAAATAGGAGCAACCCCTAGAGTTTCTTGTTCGTTTTTTCTCAAGGATTCAGCAGTGACTCAGCAGTAACTTAAAAAATTACATTTTCAAGTATAAATTTATTTTCCCTATGAAATAAATGATTTTGAGGATTGTTTAAGGTAAATAACGGCAGCACATCAAGCGAGGCGATTTTCGAAATAATCTCAATACAGAGTACTAAAAAAACCGACCTCAAGTCATTCATCACCTAGTTTGCTACCCTTAGAAGTGGAATATTTTCTTCAAATTAAATGGGACTGTTATCCTCTTTCCAACCAAAAAAGAATCATCAAAATCGTCAATTTCAAAATCAACAAAATTCACAAAAAACGGAGTCATCGCGTAACATAAAACAAAACATAGTCGAATTGAGGAACACCTTTTTTAAAGTCAGTTAAAAAAGTGTAAAGCTTGATGTGGTGTCGACTGTATTATTTTAAAAATGTCGTTATTTTGATGCCTTCTATATGTAAGGGCGCGTTCCCATTATGTCGTGACGTGTTAGGTGGAACAGTTTAAGGTGCCTTCTACATTTAAATAAAGGTGTTCACGCATAGAACAACACCATTAGCGACAGCTAACGACAGTTCACGACTTTTTTGACGTCACGATAAAAATGCGACGACAGACAATTGCAGCTTCAAACGATTCTGTCGTAAAAACGACAAGGCGGCTGCCGTGAACCGACAAATTGTCGTTACAATCTAGTGGGAACAGCTAGAGACGATAGTCGTTCAACGACATAAACGTCCACGACACAGTTACGACAGATAGTCGTGATATGGGAACAAGCTAAACGCGACCGTTGTCCAACGGTAAATAAAACGTTACGACTTAAAATGTTCACAATAGCTATTTATTACACAAGCAATGAAGGAGTGCAAGTTTCTTTTAATTTGTGCGTTACATTGTTGTGTTGTTATGGAATATTTTGATCGCCGTCTACGGACATCTGCGACATCAGATGAGCCAGCTATGCGTTGCGAGTCTTTGAGAACCGTGTTGACAAGGTTTTTGAAGACTTAAGTCATAGCGTAAAAGCCCTGTACTCTTGTTCACCGTCCGAAACAATGACTTCAAATAAGTAATACTTGATCAAATTAAAAAATGCATGATGCAAATGAAGCTTCATACTTGACATTGTGTTTTAATTTCGTCGAGTATTACTTATTTGACTGCTATTAATTTGGATGGATGTCGGATGAACAACAAGAGTAGATCCCTAGGCACTAGAGCCGCACGGCTTGCAATGGCCAAAGCTTGTTACAAAGACGAAAAAACGCAATAGAATTAAAACAAGTAACACCATACGCCTGTGATTTATCTTTTTTTTATAATATTAAATGACGGGACGAACAAGTCGTGCGCCTCATGGGAAGCTACACGCCTATCCATAACAGATGCAGTGCCACTCAGAGCTTTAAATCGCAAAGATTTGACCATGCGACATAAGTTGACAAGTCCCATGTGCCTGTAATTTCACCAGCACCCTTATTCTTCAAAACCGGAACACGGTAATGCTGACATTACTGCTTGGCGGCAGAAATAGGTAAGGTGGCAGTACTTCCTTAGACGAACTCTTTCACAAGCAGCTCTACTGCTACTGAATCATTGTCAACACAAACTCAAGACAGCAAATTTGCAGCCGGAAGCGAGTCTCACCTTGTTCATGTAATAGAAGTATTCGATCAACAGTTAAATTCCACATCAATATTCTCTGTAAAAGCAACAAAGGCGTGACGTCAATTGTATATCAATTTGCGAGAAATATCCCCTCAATAAACAGAGTGCATTTATTGTTTGCAGATAATGTAGCACCTAATTGCTTCTTTGCTAAGGATACATGCAGCAATGTCAGACCTAGCAATATTCCCTGCCACCTTAACCTATTTCTGCCGCCAAGCAGTAACGCCAGCATTACTGCGTTCCGGTTTTGAAGGGTAAGGGTGCTGATGAAATCACCACACAACAACAGGCGCATGGGACTTGTCAACTTATGTGTTAGGGTGCCGGGCGCAGTGGCAGTGCCCCTCAGATCTTTGCAATTTAAAGCTCTGAGTGGCACTGTAACTGTTATGGATAGGCGTGTAGCTTCCCATCAGGTGCACGACTTGTTCATCCCGTCAATTGATGTTATAAAAAAAACCTTTTGTCTTTTTTTTTACCATCCTCACAGTCTGCCCGCTACGGGCTTACAATTTTTAATGTATAATGAAAAGAAAACTTGTACATAATAGTATTTTACATAATCGTTGCATAATGAGGATTCGCAAAGTCGCGTACCGTGTTTTGCCGAGTGGCCTAAGTAATAGGTACGTGATTTTAAAACCGAATTAGGTATGTAATGATTGCATACAATACGAGTAAATAATGAAACATAACCAATATTTAATGTACATATATTTTGTTAAGAATCTATGACAACAATGTCAAACGCCGGCAAACCACACCCTACAGAAAAAAAACCAAAAAGATAGAAGCGGCTAAGCATTTTTTTTATAAAGGTTTATGGTGCGGTTGCAAGACCTATAGGCTAATTTAACCAATCAGCAGGCAATAGAGCGTTTGAATAGGGTCATATTTGATATTTTAATTAGCAAAAATACGACGTTCTTTTTTTAAAACTCATTATAGTTCTGTGTACGAAATTATAATTACATTTTTCAGTTTTGAGTCCCATAGACAATAGAACTTTGATTCAGAACTAAAAAGAGCGCCTTTGTGATATGGTTTATGAAATTATAATTGACAGATGAAAATACAGGAGTAGAAAAAGTAAATTAATTCATTATTACATTAATTTCCTTGATATCTATTCATACTTCTATAAATTCTTTAAACTGTAAATATATTTCTTAATTAGCTATTTCCTCAGTTTTGCCAAAAGTCGTACTATCTATACTCCGTTCAAACATTGATGGCGCTATGCGTTTCCGATTCGATTTTTTATAACAATTGATTTTATTTGTGAAGAAGTTATAATCGTGAATGTGAGCGGCTTCAAAAAACAAGACATTGTCTGTTTGGGATCGTGAGGTTGCGTTTGACAATTTGTGTACTCTAGTGATTGATTAATTCTAATGAAGATTCAAGTGATGGTTCCCGTTCATATGGAGAAGAATCCGACGATTCATTATAATGAACAATAAGAATTTATTAAAATTATTTATCATTTATTTCATTTCATTATAATTTATTAGACAGGTACCAAAATGTATCAACTTGAATAATGTTCGTTAGGTATATAATCTGTTGGTTCGACAAATATCGGAACTAAAGAGCACGTTGATTCACTAAAATTAAAAAATAAAAGAGTCCAGGAAGTATTGCATTGTTTTGTCTATTGTTGTATGTCCATAATTACGGAACTTCGGAGGCATGTATAAGTCAATATTAAACAAATGGTTGGACGGAGTATAACACTTTCATTATCATTTGGTATGTAATTAAATACAGGAATGGCCGTAGAGTATAAACACTGAAGCAAATGTCCGAGATACTCGTAGTTATTGGTTGCAGTAACTTTAAACCTCGTAAATGGTAAATTTTGAGTAAAAACCTGAATGTTATTATAGAAGCGTTGTGACTTTTTGAATGAAGACATCATCAGTCAACATCATATTTGTATCCCATGTATTATTGTTATGTCTATAAGTAGCTGTTTTTCATTAAAACAAAACTATATTTCTAAATTACGTTTTCATAAATAAAAAGGTAATTTTTAAACTTATCTCTCAAAGGGGAGATACTGGGGCACAGATTGTAAAATGCACTAACAGCATATTTTTGAAGGAGCGACATTACGGCAAACCAACACGCCGTATTCCATTATAAATGTATTAGTTTGAATGTTTATATCAAGGAAATAGTGACACTCAAGAGATTTATCGAGTTCTTAGGTTTTCGTGATGAAACATAGGAAATGAAACCATTTTTCCGGATTTAAATCATATCTATATTCGTTATATATATCGTATATTTGTTTTTTCAAACAAACCGACTTTTCGGGCCCTTGGATGGGACCTGTAAAGGGCCCGAAACGTCGGTTTATTTGAGAAAACAAATATACGCGATTTCAATCCGGAAAAATAGTTTCATTTCCGACTGAAGAGATTTCTTTACATAATATGTCTTGTTTGTATTGATGCAACACCGTTCATATAAGTTTCGTGAGAAGCCGTCATGGATTTTTTCAAAATGGCAGTCTGTAGGTAAACCAAGGTCTATAGTAAAATGTACTCAATATCAATTACTTGCTTGAGGCCGTTAGTTTAGCATGAAAAATATCTTTCTAGATTACCTATAGTCAATAACATACACTGCGCGTGTCGTATTCATAGGAATAATAATATTGTTTAGGGTGACTTTAGGTCACTTCACATTTTGATGTGTACGGGGCCTTCCGAGATTAGTATACTAAGCAAATATTATAGAAGCCCTTACCTGGAGTACAACATCTTCTTCTTAACCTTGGCGGTATCGGGGCACCATGACATGAGGAACAGCTTTTGTTTCTTGCTCGCCTCCGATGTGCCTTGGCACTGGTGCGTGTATTCAAAGTCGAAAAGGCCATATCTGTAAATATTTAAAGTTAAAATTTAATGGACAAGTGGTGATGGGCAAGGCAAGTAAGTTACTTGGCAATATGCGATGGGTGATGGATAACTTGGTTGTCAAAGCTGGGTTGTGGAATCACCACACTTGTCAATACAGAAGTCTTTCGTGCAGCCGCCGCGCGGCGACCGTTCAGTTACCACGCTTTCACGTACATTAATGCCGAATCTGAATTCTATTTACTAGGCAACAACATTTGAATTCCTGGGAATAATGCAACCCGCACGGAAGCTGCGCGGCCGCCGCGTTGACCAAGGCAGCCTCTCATTTAAGTTAAAACGTAAAAGCTAAATAAATAGAGCGCATTTTGCCATGACAGTTTGGTCTCTGAACACGTGCACGCGATCGCCGCGAGGCATGGGCGCGATGAAATTTGTGTCGAATAAACGCGTCCTACTGGTATAGACTTTTGCCTATTTGCCCAATTCTAAGCACAAATACGTTGGGTGCAAATTCGTAAAATTTGAAGCCCATATACATAAGCTATAACGACATTGGTTAAACCTGATACTCCTCGAATGAAATTCAGGAAGTAACCTTGTGTTAAACAACTTGTTACACAATTATTTGCGGTCTAACGTCGTGGTTGTATTTTGCGAGTGGTGGTGCCCGCAAATTCGTCTACGTGAAATAAGTATTCTAGTATCCTACTGTACTATGCTAATTTAAATAGTTTTATTAGTTCTCTATACAAACTTTCATCCCCTATTTCATTCTCTTTCAGATTTATTTTTGTGTCAAAAAGTAGCCCATTTATCTCTATACAAAAATTAATCAAAATTGATTCAGCTGTTGCGTGAAAACGTAATAAGACAGTTACTTTCGCATTTATAACATTAGTTAGGATGAACATCATAAAATTCATAAATATACGAGTGGCTAGTAGGTAATTTTGTTACTGTTATGCTCGAGAAATAATGAATAATTCCACGTAAGTACCAGCGTTATCAGGTGAAGTGTAGATAGCGGCTATCAGTACTGGAAAGTTATGGTAGAGGTACTGAACGCGTTGAAGTACTTGAACCCAAAGTGGTGCAGGACATAACTATGCGGTTGGCATTTATAATCCTTTTGTGGCAGAGGCAAACATTCACTTTGTGTCGCTGATTGAACGCAATAATTAGTAAGAATTCTTTGTGAAAGAGTTCGACAAGGGAAGTACTGCCATCTTAAGGTAAGTAGTATTTCGATGTTAAGGCAGTAGTTCGAAATTGTACATAGCAAAATGCAAATTATGTCAATTGTGTTACGTACAAACTACATACCCTCAAAAAGTATTGTATTTTTAAAGGAGACGTTTCGTTATTAACTCGTTTTGTACGTACGTTTGAAGTACCGCCCACTGGACGAGTTTGTAAAAAAAAAATCTGTTAGCACTTAATCCTATTGTCATTGCTAATAATGGTCTCAAGTGGAAACCTATACTAAGGAATTGACCAATAAGATCTTGCGCTAGTCGCGCGGCTTTCGACGATCAGTTATCACCAAGTAACAAGATAAAGTACATTACCTGCATTCTCCAGTGCCACCCTGCTGCAAATCCTCCAGGAATTGGTCGTATTCGGCATTACGCTCGCCGACGGTCTCGACGTCGATTTGCTTCTCGTCGCGAATATAGAACACCACGTAGCGGTGTTTCTTGTCCTTTTTTATCTCCTCGTACGTCGTTTTGCACGCATCCGAGACTGTCACACCAGACGCCTGTTAAAAATAGAAAATAAAAAATTACGAACAAAAGCTTTTCGACAACTATATCATATCCCGTGCTCGTTGTCACTGTTATGTACTTGCTATGGAGAAATTAGGGATTCGCAATTAAAGTCATGTACAATAGATGCCGTAATTTATCTGGTCCCTTGACCGTCTATTTGTTTCAGGGGCATAACACATGGACGATCCTTACGGTTTGTAGACAGGCGAGAGAAGCACTCCCAACGCTAAACGCCTCTCTATCTCAAAAATTAATTAAACTAAAAGGCAAAAGCTTTGCACTCTAACTGCCGTCCTAACGGGACATGGTCAGGTGTTTATTGTCCAGTGATACAATAAACACCTGAGGAACGCAAACAAACTGAGGAGGTTGCCAAGATTCCTGGAGGTTGGGTTGGCACGAGTAGGACCCTGCACCCACCACATGTAAAATAGGTGCCTTGTCGTCGAGTTGCGGACACCAGCCCGTTGCACCAATTCCGTTCGAAACAATTATTGTCAAGGAAGTAATACTTCCAAAGCCTTGAAAACCCTTTGTCACGATGGCAAACATGTCCCATACTTCAGCATGAGGGATGCTACTCACTAGTAGTCACTATGATCACTACGTGGTACCGGCAATCGCTACTGGGCCACAATAACATAGTGTATGGCATCGATACAATAAGAAGACAGTGATATAGATCTATGTTATATCATGGAGCATGAAAGGAATTTATTTACCTCTCGCCTTAAAAATAAGTTTAGATCGATTTAGTTTTCAGGAGATTTTAAGCGGGCAAATTGCATATCTACCCAGTTTTCCAGTTTTCAACGCCACATTTTGTAAAACTCCCCGAGTTACATCCTGTCGTAATTAAGCTGCTAATGACTCTCTGCAACTGGGTTACGTCCAAACGAACAAATGCCAACAAGTGGAAAGTGTAGAATATGAATATAAGTTACGTAACGCAGTTGGGTGCATCTTGTTCTAAATAGTCGGTGAAGTACGCAGCAGCTGTGAGAGATAAATTTAAGTTTTGTTTTTAGACCCGACCTATAACATCATCATCGTTATTTTACTGTACGGTTTCCATAGATTAAATATAACAGACCATCTTATGGTGCTGGATACAAATCTTGGTTGCTTTCTGCGAAACTTTTAAAATTGATCTGATCTTTATTCAAAAGATGTTTTAAATTTTTTTTATAAGTTATTCAGTTTTCGTGTGAAAACATGTCCTATTGATGCAGTTTGAAGACTGCCTTTCGACATTGTACAAATCGTCTACAATAGATGGAAAGACTTAAGTTTTATTAACAAATCATAATTTCACATTTATACAGAATAAGGTGGCATAAGCTTGATGTTTAAACAGAAACTTGGGAGTATGTCGTCGCATTGGAATAGGTCTTGATCTTGCTATCGCTTGATCGATCTCAGAGATCAATAACCCAATCTCTCCTAGAGCTGCGCAGGAGAGCACACGTGTGTAACACACGTCGACGGCTAAATTTACACGCTACGGCCAATGTCTTTCGGCTATTTTGGTTGAGCCATGCGGGAGATACAGCTTTCGAGTTTCTGCTCCTTACACTTTAATAATAATAATGTGCCAGATTACCACACCAATTACCTGATCTCAAACAAGGGAATTTGGTAAAAAGTGGCACCAGAACACAAAGTTTACCGAAATCTGATAAGATTTCATCGAATCTCTATTTGCTCGAGATCTGATACAACAGACAGCAAATTAAATTACGTTTAAGCGCTCTATTATAAATGACGTAAGGTATTATTTTCAACAAAGAAATATGGCAGTCTCCGAGTCTAGACTTTGGCTCATTCGCACCAAATGTATTTCATGTTTCAGTTGTCTACTGATTCTAAAGGGAGAGTGATAAGAGACGGGACTTACGTGTCACGCCTATCCATAACACTTGCAGTACCACTCAGTGCTTTAAATCACAAAGACCTGAGGGGTCCGCCACTCTGAGATATAAGTTGACGACTCTCATGTTACAGACACATGTAATTGTGCCTGTAATTTTACCAGCACCCTGACCCTTCCTAACCGGTAGGCAGTAATGCTGGCGTTACTGCTTGGCGCCAGAAACATGTAAGGCAGTACTTCCCTGGACGGACTCTTTCACAAAGAGCTTTTCTGCTACTAAAAAACTTGTGCTAGATACTTAGATGTGTTACGTACTTGGTCGGTCTGTCTGTGTATGTTTTGTAGTAAGACGGGCGAAAAATCAATATCAAAATGTTTGACGTCGTCTTATATCGCATCCTCAATAATAGTGACGGAATTCAATATTTAGAAGTTTCTCGGTTCTTCAAGAAAACTATCTAATTAACCGTATACGTTACATTAATAAATAAATAAATAAATAACGCACACACTCAACATAGCCCCGCACTAGGGAAACCCTGTGTCGCGGGTGCCATGGACACACACATAGACAACCACAAATTACACCCAAACTCACGAGAGAAATAATTGTAGGACATACAACTATTTCTCTCGGCCCGGGAATCGAACCTGGGACCTCTGCGTGGCAGTCCGGCATGGTAACGGTTCGGCCACGGAGGCATTGGTATGAGATGTGCGCCGAATGTAAAAACGTCAGAGGCGGCGTTTGAACCGGCAGCGATCGGCGTGACATATTTTTTCAGGTAGGTATTTAAAAAAAAAACACCAAAACGGTATTTAAATCAACCTTTGTATAAATTTTCAACGTTTTTTACACTTGAACCTGTACTTAAAATAATCAACCTAAGAATGTTTGTAAAAAAAACAATCATATAAACACGCTCTTAATTTAAATATGATATGAATAGGTAATTATACTTATAAGATAAGCCGTCGTGGCCTAATGGTTTGACCTATCGCCACTCAAGCAAAGGATCGTGGGTTCGTATCCGGGCTTGCACCTCTGAGTTTTTGGGAATGTAGGTTGAAAATAACGCGACGAAACCTGCACACATTTGCAAAGCAAAAAAGTAATGTGTGTGGAGTTCCCAATTTTACATTTCAACTCCCAAAGTTGCCAATCATATAGCCGGCGAGGGGTTATAATTATATACGCTAACTATTATTATGAATAGGATGTGTACGTAGACTTTCTTTTAGAATGAATTTTCATTGTTACAGAAATATAGTATAAATCATTAACAAAGAAGCTGATATTTCTTTACATCACGCCGATCAAGTACATCGACGGCGGCGGTCGTCGGTTATGGCAAAATTTTATTATGAGTAGAATCGAGAAAGATGAATTAATGTAACTTTTAATTCCTCGCGCGATCCATCACTATCTTTTTGTAACTTTCTCAGTTCCCCAAAAAATGTTAATTTTTGGATTTCATCAGTTCTTTTGAACATGCTCATCTACTTCAGGTTCTTTTGATTAATCCATGAATTATTTATTGTAGTAACGTAGGAGGTAATCAATATGAATGAATCAGAATCGAGAATGATTATCCATCTGTTAATAGTTGCACCTGTTCAAACATTAATTTGTGATATGAAACAAATGTTTGTTATTGTAAACATTGCTTCCGAGACGCCATAAGCCGACGACTTTACTATCGATCTGTATCGATCGCGTATGAGCGTTATTGATATTAGCGGATAAACATTAGCCACGATGGCTGTGTAGATTCATTATGTAGTATTGCAACGAATAGTATCGGCCACTGGCCGAACATTCGGCCAAAAGCGTCGCCAAATGGCCAAATATTCGGATTGATGAACGCACGTACGAAAAATACTATGTATGAACTGCACTCATGGTGAATAATTTTGTACAGACAAGTATAATGAAAAAAAAGGTATATTCATTCACAAGTTTGTAATTTAAATTTATGACCAATATGACTTCATGAAGAAAATACCTTCATTGTTTATTTAACTTCAGATTAACTTTCAAAAACTTAATTTTATTTTGGTTTGCAAATAACAAGTACTTGGTTGATTTTATTAGCGTTTATGTAGTCATCAGTAAAGTACATCGTTTTCATCATGTGATTCATCATCTCTGAGAAAAGTAACTTGGCTATATTATATTTCTTTTGATCCTTTCGATAAAGAAGCATAATTGCGCTTTTGCGAACTTACAATGTATTTTCAGCATTAGGAGGGTCATTCTAGCGGAGATGGCACCGCGGGCCATAAAAATAAATTATACAATTCGTTTTTAATTGTATGACAAGAATACGCTCAATTAATTAAAATTATTTAATTTTTTATTTTATAAATCATCATTTAAAAAAACGACATTTTTTCCGATATTGTACAATTATTGTGTTGTTCTACATATTAACGCAGTCATGCTGTCGTCTTGAAAAATTTTTTCCTGTATGTAGGCAACCATTTTCGCGGTTATTTGTGCGTCTTTCTAGAAAGTTATTACTGTCGCTGTCGAAGAAAATACAATTTACGGATTGTACCACACTGATAATTGATTGCATGGAAACGTACATATGTATTTAGTGAGGAGTTATTAACAAATTAAAAGTTACACGATAATTTACTGTTATTTCCTATTTGCTCCTCCTGTTTTTAAGTATTCGGCCGAATAGCAAAAGCAGGCCGAATAAGGCTTATACTTCATAGGAACCGAATATTCGTCGCGACTCTACCATTAAGAGATATTGGCAGAAGATAACACTAACAAAGTTTTATGATATCGACGCCATCACGGAATTTTCCTTTCATCGTTCTCGAACGGTTACACTTACAATCAACCCCCCGTTCACACGGCATTGCTCTGCTTTGTTTATACGTGTGTGCGTTTTTGCAGTACAAATCGTCAGTTTAAAGGTAAAACCACATAAGTGACATTTTAAACAAAGTCTTTAATTTATATAGCTATGGTAGAAAAGCACTATCTTTCTGCACGTGAAACTCAATAACAGGAAAGCTATAAACGTAATAAGAGTTTTATCTGCAGAAAGATGGTGATTTTCTTAAAACAGGTACATGATTTGGAAATTTTTTAGTTAG